ATTGTTCATACGAAAAGGCAATCATCCGTGACCTGGTACTCCACTGGGTCAAACGAATAATCGCCGTTGAATTCCAATCCATCGTACCAGTTACTGTGAAAACCGGTCAGTGATGTAGAACCGGTATGCTGAAAAATGTCCATGCTGTTAAGCCCAATATTCTCAAAGCAACCAATATTTTGAAGAGAGGAAAGGGGTGATTCCTCAGGTAGAGAAACAAAGTCTTTTTCATTCTTGGCTCTCGGTTCTCTTAATGGAGACATCCAAATTTTCGACCCATCAGTCTCGTGTTTTACTCCAAAACCTTGAGAATCTACAGACCCGCGTTCAACTTGGACTGAAACAGAGTCACTCGTGCATATCACCGGTAATACCACTGTACTGTTGAGCGCTGGCTTGGTTCTAGTTGAGGCTGTCTTCTGCTCTGGATTACAAGCTACCGAGATAATAGATGTTGGAGGCAGCGACTGACTAGTGGTTGTCTGATGTATTTGGCCAGTAAGCGGCAGGTGTGAGCAATCCTCTAATGAACTGTTTGGCTCATGATCATGTTTTGAACGCTGCACGCACGATGTTAGAGGGATGCCATTGCTCCAGGGTTCTTGCTTTGGTGTGGAAGTTTCAACAGATGATATTGTCCCTATAAATGAGAGAACATCACTTAGTGGAGGGGCACTGCTTACTTTCCTAATATTAGGAACGTTAGGCTTCACTCTACCCATTTGATCTTTTAAACGCAAGGCTACTGTGCTCTTTACGTTGTTGGCAAAAATAGCGGGAGTTCTATTATACGCCTGGAAATTTTGGGTAATGGGCACATATCGGCCAGAAGCGCTGATTTGATTCATTGTGGCTGAGTTCTGGAAGTTAGCCCGGGGACCAGTAGGGTTGAAATCAGGTTGGATGTTTTTGACACTACTTCTCTCTTCATGTTGCTTCTGCAATCTACTCAAATAGAGACGGTATTTCTGCAGAATGAGCATTCAAATTAGATATGCTATGACTTTATTAAATTTAAAGAAAAACTAGATTTTAGAAATACAAAGAATTACAGATGTCTACGGCTAGACTATACTTATGCCAGATACATCATGTGCCAGGAAGATGAGGCTATGGAGCGTGCAGTAACAGTTAAGAAAAATAATTCATTTCATGACAGGAAAAAAAAACAATGAAGATTTTATAGAAAGAGGTAAATATTTGGCTATATATGCTACTTTTGCCTAGGAGAAAAGCAGAATACATGGAACGTCCAAGAAAACTATAAAGAGGAATAATTGCATAGTGCATATTGATGATCAAGAAATACTAAAAGAGTGATCACTTTTGTTATTTAGGATCAATTATTCGGCATGATGGTAAAATTGAGGATGATGTTGTACATGGAATCAGTTTAGGATGGTTAAAATGGAGAGTGATTCTAGAGTATGTGACCGTCAAGTATCTATGAGATTGAAAGAAACTTTTATAGACAGTTATAAGACCAAGAATGCTATATGGATCAAAATGTTGGGCAATTAAAAATCAACCCAGGCAAAAAATGGGCATAGCATAAATGAGAATGTTAAGATGGTGTTATGAATATACCCTAAAAGATAGAATAAAAAATGAGTGCATACGTAGGAGAATAGAGGTTGCTCCTATTAAGGATAAAATGAGTGAAACAATTTTGATGGTTTGGCCATGTACACAGGAAGGCGGTAAACGCACCGCTGATAAGAATTGAGAAGATCATATTTAATGGAGCAAAGCGGACTAGAGGTAGACCTAAAAGAATTTGGTTAGAAATAATTAAGAAGCCCACAGGTGCCCCAGCTCCGTAGTCATGCTAGCCGCCCCCCGCCCATGGTCTCGCACCCTTTTGCTTGCTTTTTTCCATTGAGATTCGTGAAAACAGAAAGAAAACTGACTCCTAAGATCATTTATCGATTCACAGCTTCGCCTTCCCTTCCTTCCTCGTGTGTACATCAATACCAAATAATACCTACAAGAAAAGAGTCTATATTGATAGAAATCTTTCTGTACCAGTTAAAATTAGATCATGTTTATGGCTTTAATATCTTATTTTTGAAGTTTATTCAATAATTTATGAAGAGATAAAAGTATTGTAAAAACTTGTGGGGCTCAAGTTTCTTACTCTTCTCGTGTAAGTAAACATTTAGATCTCCTGAATGTTTGGTTCATTTAGGGGTGTTTAAGGAGATAACACATGTTTTAATGTTCAAGTTTTTCAACCGTGGATCTCATGTCATGCATCAAACATCAAAAAATAGGCTGAGAACGTGAAAACACAGATATATTTTGTACGCGTATGAACTCCCCTGTACACTTAGCCAATTCAAACTAGCATATATATATATATATATATATATATATAATATATATATATATATATATATATATAATATATATATATATATATATATGAGAAAAGCGGAGGTGAGCTGGCAGGTAGGAAATTTCTACGCTGCAAGTGTATGACATGTGAGCCCCACACCAATGTGACTAGTAGGGGGTTCACATGTCATACACTTGCAGCGTAGGAAATTTCTACGCTGCCAGCTCCACCTCCCCGTTTCTCTCTCTCCTCTCTCTCTCCTCTCTCTCTCTCTCCTCTCTATATATATATTATAATATATATATATATATATATATTATATATATATATATATATGAGAGTTTCGCTAAGGTGACGTCTTAGGTAATCATCTAAGGACGCGGCCTAAAATCACATGATTGAGCTGCATTATGGATGATTCACTCCGTTGAACTTGATCTACATATTATAAAACCCCAATACACTAAGTTTGAGGTGAACCCGTCGTCGTTTGACCCTTCATCCACTCGTATCAATTTTAACGGGTTCGAATGAATAGAGCTTTTCACATGGCTCGACGGAGGGTCAAACGACGATAGGTTCACCCCAAACTTGGTGTGTTGGTGTTTTAGAATATGTAGATCAAGTTCAACGGAACGGATCATCCACAATGTAGCTCAATCATGTGATTTTAGGCCGCGTCCTTAGATGATTATCTAATGCGTCACCTTAGGAACATTTCATTTTAACAAGAGAAAATTGACAACAGCCAGAAGTCTCTGAAATTTCATTTTAACTAATTTATAATCTCCTCAAATAAATTCAGACATGATAAAGACTTGATTACAACATATCCCATCTTTCGCTCGCCCACTAAATCTAAAGCTAATATGATACGAAGTCTTCTAATAACCGACAGATGTCGCTTCTATTCCCACTACTGAACTCTTTGAGCAATCTTACAGATTACTTCGTATCTTAAAATTGGAAAAGAAGGGATAAGCTAACATGCCTAATGAGTTTGACTGTTTGTTACACACTTAACAAACTATGCACTAAAAGTGACTTCAACCTTTTCTTTTAGAATAAGAAATTCTTTATTTAATTTGCAAAAAAGTATATGAAATGAAAAGGTGTTTAAACCATGTAATTTCCAAGTGCATAAACATGATAAGCATAATATTGTTTCTTCAATTAAAATTTTGTTGTAGGGTCTAGCAGGGAAAAAATGCAAAATATATCAATACATCAGGAAAGATAAATAAAAGTTAACAAGAATTACAGCAAACAGTATTGCTAAAAGATCAAATTCTAGCAGCTAAGAAAGTGTGTTATCTTACCTGCAGGTGACTACCAACATTTTCTCTTGTTAACCCGGGGATATTCATCAAGTCAAGAATCTTCTTTGGACCAACTTCTGCGGATAGGAGTAATCATAAATCAACCATCAATAAAAAGTAAAATATGTCATCAGTCAAAGAAAGAGAGATTGGCATACTCACTGTCAAATCCTATTTCTTTCACAGCATTCACAAATTTTTGATGAAGATCCACAGACCACACAACTCTAGATTTCTTCACTGCTGCAGTATCGTTACATTCTTGATCCGAAGTTTCTTTGCTGTCCAAATCTTTTCGCTTTCCAAGACATCCTTGCCTGTCATCAAAATCCTCAGAAAAACTTCTACTCATTTGAATATCTTCACTGATATCATGGTCTTCAACCTCTTTCAGTTCGTGCATTTTCTTTCTATAAACATGTTGCCATATGTTTCTCAGCTCTTTCATTCTAATGGGCTTAAGTAGGTAATCGCATGCACCATGTTGAACCCCTTTCATTACCCTACTTGTTTCCCCATTCACGGACATCACTGCACGGATTCAAGTAATAAATCAAATGTTAATAACTTATACTTTATCGTGTTATCCCCATAAAAGCTACATGTTGTCACATAAATAACTAACTGATGACAGGGAGATCCATCTCAAGTCCAACTTGTTCCAGAAGCTCGAAACCATCCATGTCGGGCATATTGACATCGCTAATTACAATGTCAAACTTATCCCTTCTTCCACGAAGCAGGCTCAGTGCAACTGTTGCTAAGCCGCATGTTGTTACTGTATCACGGAGTAACAATTAGAATTTGTTAATTGCTATGAGATGAACTTATCAATATCCAATGTAACCACTTCGAAAAATGTCGTATCGTCAAAGATTAAAAGCTCAAGCGATTCAGGCATTCACAAGTATATATTAACTGTAGTTGACATTATTTTCTTGGCACCAATACTCCATTGAAACCTCATGTTTTACAAAGTTCAGTAAGAAAAATCCTCTGCTACTTGAAATTTGAAACTGACTCTCTTCTTTCATGTAGTACTAAAAAAAACCTTGCACTGCCTTAAATTTAGCATAAATATCCCAGTATTCAAGATAATACAAATATGTTTTTTGTTTAATTAAACAGAACAAGGGTTTTATGAGTTTGCTGCTAAATCTTGATAATACATGTGGATTCTTCTACGATTTACCCTCTGTCCTATTTTCCTGGCCTTTCTTCTCTTTTCCTTCCTTGATTTACTTCATGTAAAAGGTTAATGTGCAGAAACATCATATGAAACATGCACAGACAAGAACACAAGGAGTGTCCCCCAAATCACAAGTAAAAAACTACTAGTGAAGCTAACCAAAATAAGCATCTAAAAAGGAAATCAATTACTGCTATTTCAGACACTTGATCCTCTTTAGATATCTATTCCACTCCATTGAGCGTGTCAATATAAGTTTTGCTCGATATACATTCTTAACAAACAACATATCATCAAATCAAGCTTATGTCTAGTTATGAAAACATGCGCAATTTAAAGATATGCTTACTTATTTACTTAAAAAAAACTAGTTCCTAAGCCAAGAAAGATACCATTTTCAATCTCTAATGGTCGGATGGAAATAGAGCTGCAAGTTTAAATAGAGCAACTGGATTTGTAAATGCATTGTTTGGTCTACAATTTTGAAATTAGGAAAGGTAAATGGACTTGCATTTTGTTAGGAAAAAAAAAAACAAATGCTGCAGCCAATTTGGTGGGAGGAAAAGCTGCCGGATGAAACTAAAAAATGAATATAAATTCCACCTTATCCAAAAAAAAACTTTTAAACCCAGATAGAAAACTACCTCCACCAAAGTTTTCTTATATGGCAAAATTATATAGCTTTTGCGCTAATTATTTTGCACCAGACACTGAATTTGAAATGGAAATACATTTCCTAGAATAAAATTACAAACATTCAAACAATGAATTTGAAGTTGATTAACTGCATCAAATGATGCATGCAACATTTGCTGCTGCATTATTTGCAGAAATTTATTTTTGCAGCAAACCAAACAGCCCCTAAGTCCATTAACCCACAAACCAGTCCATTTCAAAAGCTCATCCAGACATAAAAACAAGCACCTGCAGTGCACCAGACCCAGCTGAACAAAACCAATCCGAAAAAAAAAAAAAAAACAAAAACCCATCAGAGGTTGAATCAAAACACCTTCATATGAGCACTTTCTGAGCATTTTCTCAAGGATTTTCATCCAAGTTGGGTCATCATCCACCACCAAAACCCGAAGGCCAACCGGAAAAGCCTCGGCCCGAGATGGGTTCTCCATTTCTAAGCTTAGAAGAAGAAGAAGAAGAAGAAGAAGAGAAAGGAGTAGGGGAGTCTTGAAGTGAATGTGCTAGCAAATATGAAGTTCTTTTCTTATATTATTTTTGGAGGAAGAACGAGGGACAACTTTGTAACGAATATTGGCGCCTGTGACAGTTGCCTCTACGTGGTGCCACGCTTTAGGTATTAGCTTTTGCTTTTTCATTTTACTATTAATATATAAAAATAGTTAAAACACATCAATAATACATTAATAATAATGTTGAATATTATATTGGAGATGATGATAATGAAGTTACTTTGTTGATAGGGCCTTTTTTTTTCCAATATCAGGGCATCTCCAACCCAGCATCAAAATGGTGCAAACAGTGCTTTTTGTTGCACTGTTCATTCTCCAACCCAGTCCCATTTTCTGCGCCATTTTGGTGTAGTTGAACAGTGCTGTACCAAATATGGCGTTACACTGTTCATCCACCCCATTACTGTTCATTTTTAAAAAAAAATTTAAATATTTATTTTTACCTCTTACTTAATATAAAAATAGATAAAAGAAAATAAACTGAGAATATTCTGAGAATATTCTTTTTTGGTGCAAAAAATGGTACAATGGGTTGGAGATGTATTACTGTTTGATATGATTTTTGCACCATTTTGATGCAAAATTTGCACCATTTTGATGCAATGGGTTGGAGATGGTCTCAGTCCCTGAAGTCTTTAACATTTTCATATTAGTCACTTAAATCGTCGAAATTGTCATTGGATCCTGTGTTTTCTGTATCTTGCGGTAGCAGCTCCTCTTGATTAGAGAGATTAATTTAAAACAACTTATAGAAATTAGAGAACCTATGTAGCAGTTTCTATGATTTGAGGGACTAATATTAAAACAACTTACAGGCGATTGAGATGCGAAATATTAATTTCAATGACGGAGGGGCTATTTTCAAATATTAAAGATTGAAGAGACTAATAGCTGCCCCCTTACAGTCTATTTATTACTGTTATCTAGTTTTGAAATCTAAAAGAATGCCATGAGTAATTATATTTTTATAGTGAATAAATGTGAAACAAGCTTAAACTAAATAGAAAATCACATCAAAATAATTCATTACGAGTAGGCTAAATAGCACTTAACTACCTTATAGTTTTACTCACTTTGCACTTATATACCTAAATTATTTTTATTAGCATTTACATAAATTAAGTTGTTTAAAATTGACGCATTTGTACCCTCAGCAAAGATGAAAATTTTCACCCGAATATTTTCAAATGACATTACAAATTAGTTTTAGAGTTTTTTAATTGTTACTGTTTGTTAAATTTACCTTATCGAAATTCTTGTTTTATTGTATCCTAATTCTAGTTTAAAAATAGAAATTGAATAGATTACACAGTAAATTCAACAAAAAAATAATAGTAAGAAAGTTATAAAATTAAAATATGAATGTTATAATGGAATATTTGGGTGAAAATTTTCGTATTTGTGTAATTGAGAGTACTAACGTGCTAATTTTAAATAACTTAGAGTATATAAATACTATGAAAAATAAAAAGTATATAAGTATAAAGTGAGTGAAAATATAAAGGAATTAAGTGTTATTTAGTCCTATAAATGTGACAACAATTATTGTGACCATTATGATATTGAGGAGGCGAGATTGAGTGCAAGGACGGTAAGAATCACGGGCGTTACAAATAGGTCCCAGTTTTAGTGAAATCTTTTTCAGTCTTTTATAGTAAAAAATTCTTTAGGGGGGGTGGGTAGTAGGGCTGAGCATGGTTCGGTTCAAACCGAAAAAACCGACCGAACCGATCCGAACCGACCCGAAAAAAAAATGTTCTAATGAGTCAGCTCCTTTTTTTTGTCTCCACAAAGACCAAAGTCAAAGCTTGCTACACAAAGACAAAGCAAGTCCGTTACTAAAAAATTACAACGTCAGAGTCTAGTATTTAATCCAAAAGGACAAGTTACTTCACTTAAAAACAGTATACATACATGAGTAAGAATAATAAATTGAAGTGAAGTTAAAAAATAAATACATGCTGGCATAGGGTAATAAGAATATATAAAAGATAAATTGAAGTGAAGTTATACTTGATAAAGTTAGAACCGAACAAACCGAACCGAACCGCACCGAACCGATTTGCAACGGTTCGGTTCGGTTTTGAATTATAAGTGGTTCGGTTCGGTTGTTCAAATTTTGGTAAAAACCGACCCGAACCGAACCGTGCTCACCCCTAGTGGGTAGTCACCTAGAACTTAAAATTGGAACTGAGATAATATATGAGATAACTTTTAAGATGTTAGTCACATAGAACTAAAACTAGAACAAAACTTTACAGTGTTAGTCAAGTAGAACTCTAACAAAACTAGAATTGGGATAATGATACAAAATTATCCCATTTTTTATTTTCTATACAAAAATGAGAGTTCTAATCTCTCAAATTATTTAAAGTTTTAACTTGGAACTAGGTGGTAAAAAACTAGAACTCATATTCATTTTGTTATTTTTTATATTTCTTTTTTTCTTTACTTCTTTTCTATTATGGTTATCATCATCATTAGACCATCATTATAATAATAATTGTCAATATCTTATAGTCTAACCAAAAGTTATTTAATAGTAAAATATATTCTTGAAGTAATTATCAATCAATAATAGTAAGTTTAAAATACATAAATAATATTTATATCTTCAAAATACATAAATATATATTTCATGATTATAAAAATTTATCCCACGTTATTTTTATCAAAATATCCCGCTTCACAAAATTGTTCATATTTATCCCACTAAAATATCTCACTAGCAAAAAATTATTCCACTTTAACAATTATCTCATTTTGCATGAAAAATCCCAATTGACTAACACCCCCTTAGGGGGGGTTAGTCACCTAGAACTTAAAATTGGAACTAGGATAATATGTGGGATAATTTTTTAAGGTGTTAGTCACATAGAACTAAAACTAGAATAAAATTTTACAGTGTTAGTCAAGTAGAACTCTAATAAAACTAGAATTGGAATAATGATACAAAATTATCCCACTTTTTTTATTTTTCTATACAAAAATAAGAGTTCTAGTCTCTCAAATTATTCCAAGTTTTAGCTTGGAACTAGGTGGTAAAAAACTAGAACTCATATTTATTTTGTTATTTTTTATATTTCTTTTTTTATCTTTACTTCTTTCCTATTATTGTTATCACCATTAGACCATCATAATAATAATAATTGTCAATATCTTATAGTCTAACGAAAAGTTATTTAATAGTAAAGACCATTCTTGTAAGTAATTATAAATCAATAATAATAAGTTTAAAATACATAAATAATATTTATATCTTCAAAATGCATAAATATATATTTCATGATTATAAAAATTTATCCCATATTATTTTATCAAAATATCCCGCTTCACAAAATTGTTCCTATTTATCCCACTAGCGAAAACATATTCCGCTTTAACAATTATCCCAATTTGCATTAAAATATCCCAATTGACTAACACCCCCTTAGAGAATATTATAAATTTTCGTATAAAGGACTAAAGGAGGTCGTAGTGGTTATAAAATTTCATAATCTATTCTCTAAATCCTTGAAGGGGAAAAAGGTCATGAGTTTGTTATTTAAGCTACTACTAGTAGAAAAACGGTCAACCTAGACGGAACAACCTAGACGAAAAAAATTAACATCTAGGTTGGGGAAAACTAGACGAAAATTTTCCATCTAGATTGCTCCGTCTAGTTTGGAGCATTCTAGACGTAAATTTTCGTCTAGAATGACAAACTTGACGGAAATTTTGATTTTTAAAAAATAAAAAAAGCAATCTAAATGGAAATTCCGTCTAGGTTGCAACCTAGACGGAATTTTTATCTAGGTTGCGTTAAAAAAAAAAAATTTAAAAACTTAACCTAGATGGAATTCTCTCTATGTTGCAACCTAGACGGAATTTTCCTCTAGGTTACGTTTAAAGAACAAAAAAAAACCCTAACCCTAATCCCTCCCCCCA